TGGACCAAGAGAGATCTTGCTTGAAGTAAGCCCTCCATATCTCAGAGTGTGATTCTGAGTTCTTCTGCACCATTGTTTTTGCTCTACAGATCCATTGCTGCTGCAGTACCTACTCAAGTAGGCAGAGCTGCTGTATTATCTCTTCCAACCTCAGTCACTCCTTAGCAAAGGAGAAATCTTCCCTTCCCCTTGGGAGCTTCATCTGAATCTGTTTGTCAATTTTTAAAAGAATGCAGCTCACAAAAATCATCTCATGAAGTTACTTTACAGCTAAATGTAAATTTTTACTGACATAAAATTTAATTATGCATAAACATTATAAGCATATGCACTTTTAATTACCTATAGCTGCACAGTTTCTGAATCCACCAGCAGTAAAATGTCAGTAGAGAAACAACAAATAATCATACTAATTTTTCTGGTGCAGTTATTAACTTGATTTCCTTTGGTTTTTTACAGTAATAAGTAGTATATGCATTGTGAAAATGCAGCTATTCAATCATAGAATCATAGAATCAACCAGGCTGGAAGAGACCTCAAAGATCATCAAGTCCAACCCACTGTGGGCACTAGACCATGGCACTAAGGGCCACATCCAGTCTCAGCTTGAAAACCTCCAGGGATGGGGAATCCACCACCTCCCTGGGCAGCACATTCCAATGCCTGAGCACTCTCTCTGGAAAAAATCTCTTCCTAAATGTTAAATGGAGATGCAGATAAGTCAGGCATAGAATTTACTATAAAGAGGAATGTGTTGCTAAAATGTATATGGCAGAGGTGCAATGTGTTCCTACCAATATGCAATAGCACATAACCTTTTGTCACCAAAGGTCTAGAACAACAAGCATGAGGGTGAGGAAGTTGGTACTAGTCAGTCCCACTGTCACCAAACACTGCCTGCACTAAAGATGTAGTGTGACATGCTATTGAGTAAATAACTGTGTACATCAGACAAATGTTTAAAATGGCTGGAAAAGAAAAAAAAGCCAAAGACCAGAATAAAGTTGTCATTGTGCTCATCTGTGCTAGGAGATGACCCAACTATTTTCTGTATCAATACAGGAGGCATATGGGAGCACTGAAGTCTGGCATTAGCAAAGACTTCTCAGAATCCCTTTACTTCATTTTTTTAATCTTTATTTTTACTCTAACAGTCCAAGCAGATTAATTGCATTTACTCAGTATTAATCATTTGGTTTTCCAATTGAAATGTGAACTGCACACACATTCATAAATGGACTAAAAGCTTGCTTAGTTTCACTTTGGCTTTTTATAAGCAATGTATTCTCTACAGAAAAGCTCCTGTATAACTTATTGCAGAGATATTCCCTAAGAAATTGCATCATATATTCGCCTACGTTCTGGAGTTGTAGCAAAGTGAGGAAAAGTATTTCTCCTCTTTCTCTAGTGGAAGAAGCCTATTATTGCTACAGAAAACTGTGTATATCACAGTACTAACTTTATACAGCACTGCCAACTAGGTGCTGCAGTCAAATTACATGTATAGTATAGGATGAATAAACTTGAAAATAGAAAATTAGATATAAAATAATAATCTAATCAAACAGCTCAGTTTATCCAGTCAGAAGAAAATGGAAACAATCAAGGATTAGTAAAATGAAAGATGCTTTAAATTTTGCAATACTCAAAATTTATCTGAATTACGTTTACTTGTCATAATCTTGCAGGATCATGCAAAGAAGTGTTTCATGTTCTAAATTGTTTTGCTTAACAATGTGTCTCTTTACTCTTTCTTAGTGAGATTAATTCTACATTTAATTATACATGCTGAAATGTCTATACTGAGTACTGAAAAATTAGTTTATAACTAAAGTTTTACTGCACACCAAATTTAATTTCTTAATGGGAAGTTTTACTGCACAAAACCTCATGAAATGCTGACCTCAGAGCTGTAGCTATTGACCAAAATACATTTTATAAATATATTAGTTCATGATGACCTTTTAAACAGAGGTAATTCCTACAAAACATCTTTCTCAGATGTCTTGATCTAACATTTCTCAGTCCTTCTTGCTGGGCCTTCCTGGTTCTGGACTGGACAGGGAAAACAGGACAGGTAATGGATACTACAGTGAGTTTTAAATTCTTTCTTTTCTCTCTGCTGCTCCTCTTTTACTATAGTAAAATAACTATTATTATTTCAGTTAGGACCTTGGTTGTCTGAAATGTAATTTTGGCAAGGAATGAATTTACAAGGCTGAAGAAAACAAAGTAATAAACCCCCCTTTGGATTTCAAAACAGGAGCATGTACTCCTTGAAGAGTTCTTTCACTTTAATTATTCATTAAAATCTTCTCATTGAGCCACATTAAATCAGTTCTCTCTTCTACAGAGAACGTAATGCAACAATAGTTCTTCTGAAAGGAAAATTTAAATGGTTTTTTTACGTAGCAACATTGTCTATTTACTGAGGTAATGAATCTTATCTGTATTTTTTCTCTCAGGTATATGTGACCAAAGGTCAAGAGATTCTTATGGCATGTGGAAGCAGTTGGTCTACTGCATAGTATGTGCCAGATTCATATTGACAGCTACACCATCATGCCCGTGGTAGGAGCAGCAATTCTTTGGAGAAGTTATCACTTTAAATACATGCTGATTAACTTACACAGTGATATCTCAAACAGCACAGACTCAGCTGGAAGTGCAACAATTAATTTGAATTAATTAGAGGCTTTGTGTCAGTGTGATTGAGACCACTTTAGTTCTAAGAGAAAGCTCACTAAACCAAAGGAGTAAAACTCCTAAGACTTCTTACTGTGATTATGTGCTTCTTATTATGTAGCCTTACTGAGAATTGCACTATATCACAATTTTAAAGCTCCTCTCCTTCACTCAGAGCAATTCCTCATCCTGAGCTCCAAAGAAATTCTCTGCATATCTATCAATATGTGCCTATGAGACACTACTGTCTGGAACAGTAATTTCAAAATGAGAGGACAAAAAGAATATGCCAAGGTAAGGAGACAGAAAGTTAGAAAAATGACATTACATTTCCAATGTGAAATAAACCTGATCACTTGCAAAACATAGGAGCTTAAAAGAGAGGAATATTCTTGAAGCTAAGCAGGATATTTCCCATGCTTTCCTGATCTTAGCATTATTATTTCAAGCTACCAGTGGAACAATACATTATAGCCATGTTTAATAATTAGTTTAGAATTTCAGATTTCTCAAGTCAGAGAAAGGTCTAGAGTTTTACATTAATTTTATGTTAATAAAAATAATACATAACATTTTGACGTACCTTTATCTTCTGCACTTATTAAGTAAGTGAAGTTTTGAATGACTATGATAGTTTTAAAAATGGATCTCTGTAGGGTTCTTAGTGGCACTTGAACATTGAATTCTCTATATATTCTGCTGACAGCTTTCTTATGTCTTCCTGAACTACTTTGCATCAAATACAGCTCTTGATAACTACCTTATGAAAAAGGATCCCATTTTAGCATAGAAATGCAAACTGAAAGCCTTTCAAACAAGATGGGTGACTACAGTAGTTATGTTCAGCATTTCTTGTATTTGTTTGGTTTTAATGGTGCATTGGAAAGGGTAAATCATAGTTGTTTGACTTGTTGACAATAACTTGGAAAAACCATTTTTTTCTAAGGCAAGGATAATTCAGTTGTCTTAAAAAAATTCTTCACTGCCATTGAGGATCAAAGATGTTGTTTCAACAGACCAGGTATTATACAGTAAACTTCTACACATAGAATCTACAAAATAACCAGTTGTGTTCTCATTGGGTCAGGTTCTCTGCTAACAAAACTGGCCATCTAGGAATTAGATCTTAATCGTATGTTTTCTTGTTCCTTAGATAAACAGACTGATCTATCAATTTAATTTGTCTTTCAAAGACTGAAGAAGGAAGAATTAAGTGTTTTCTGTCAGTAAACAGAGTCTGGATTAGTGAGCTAAAATCAAAAGTTCTTGTTTTACCAGAAGACTTCAGACTTACTAATATCTCAGTAAATGTTAGTGGATTTTGTTAGGGCTTTGTACTTCTATCAGAATTCTTTTCCTGATATAGAAAGGAAAAGCACAGATTTATCAGGCAAATAAAATGTCAAGATATGGTCCAGTAATTTGATATGAGTTGATTGTAAGGTAGCAAAAAGGAAGGATGTATGCTCTGTAAGAATTCTGTGACAAAAGTTCCTTTTAATTCTGGTGTACTGAGTCATATACTTCTCTGTATTATTGTGCTAATTGGGTGATTTTAGTTATAATTGTAAAACATACTATTATAACAGAGATGGAGTGGAAAAAATTTTTATTTGCTTCTATTTTAATTTTATTCCACTATTGCATTTTTTTTCTATATAGAAACACAAAAGCATATTAAGTAAGGTGTTTCCAAGTATATGGCACAGCACAGAATTAAAGCCTTTCAAAATGCATTCATACATGTTATGGAGAGATTTGAGATATTCTGGATTTTGTGGAGGAAAAGTGAAGAATTCAAGTCTGATAAGAACAGCTGAACTCTGGTTATCAAAGAAACCCTTTCTCATTTATTTTCCCCCATACTTTTATAAAATCTCACTTCTAAATATCTACAGCATGTTAGAGCTCACTAAGGAAAACACATACTTGATGGTTTTAGCGATGCCCCCAACCAAAAATATAATGTCACAAATAGCATTTCATTTGAAAATTAAAACTAAAATTTTAATACTCTATGTCACAGTCCCTGCTCATAAAGTATTTGCCATTTCCTAAACTAGATTATGTTTACCTGAGATTTTGCATAATTGGTTTAACTTCTTTGGCCAGCAAAGAGGAATATTTGTGAGGCTTTCCTATGCAATACTTCAGACTACACTGTCTTACTGAATGCACAGCCTTACTTAAAGTTAGTGGCATTTTATAATGTGAAAATAATATTACTACATTTTAATTCTTTTTGAAAGGAAAAATATTTTCATAGGGTATACATTTCTTTATGTAGACTTGTATAGAAAGCATCGTGTTAATACCTGTATTTATTAATTCCATCTTCACATGTGGCTCCATGTTGGCACTGGTTTCCCTCACACTCATTAATATTCTCTAGGCATGTTTGTCCTGTCCATCCAAGAGCACAAACACAGTGAGGTCTTTGGTTTTCTTCATTGTAGAAGCAGCTCCCTCCATTTGCACATACCTGAAGATGAGAATTACAAAGATTTACATAGTCAGTCATACCTGAAGATGAGAATTACAAAGACATTGTGTTGGGTTTACATAGTCAAGTTTTGAGGGTGGGGGGAAGGTCTATAGAAAAAGGCTGAATTTGGTTTTTAATTTCAACTATAATTCTGATTCACAATCTATCCTTGAATGTTTATATATATTTATGTGTGTGTGTGTATATATATATATGTGTGTGTGTGTGTGTATATGTGTGTGTATAAATATATATATATGATATCTATGCTCTGGGTATATCAGAAGCTTCATTCTTTTCAATCTGCAGATATTGAAAGATTGGTAAACTTAGACTGGACCAGCTTTTTTCCTTTTGGTTGTTACTTGCTAATACTACTAACTAAAATGGTTTTCTCATATTCTTCAAAAATTGCAGAAAGCTCTAAGTCTGAATAAATGCTCCTTTCCTCATTTTACTTTTTGGTTCCCTTTTCATTTCCATGAAAATTCTGCCAGTGTGGAGAAGGATAACTACATTTTCATTTCCAAGCAATTAAGACCCCTCCTTCTAATCAATTGGTGTCTAAAGAAAATGGTGTCTAGAAGATGAGCTAATGCACTACTACTTCAGTTTGATTGAGTCTGAATCTCTTTATAATGCCATTAAGATTTGTAATAATAACAGTTCTTGGCAGAAATCCTCTAAAATTCATTTGTCTTTGATTAAGTTTTAAATTGACCTTAAAACGAAGAGATTTTTGTTATGCTCTCAGTACTGAATTTTAGGCTTGGGATCCTTATTCAATATGACATCTTGAAGAAAACCACAGTCCAACATAAGTGGAAAAAAAACCCAAAACCACTTCTATGTGTATGGTTTGGGAAATGTTTTCTTAGCATTTTTTTAAAGTGTGCCTTTTTACTTTTATATTCCAACATTTTTTGCTGGATTTTTTCCCGAGTCTTACAATTTTCTCAAAGTTCAAATAGGTCAAATAAGTTTATACTCAAGAAAATTATCTAAAAAACCCATAAAAAAATTAAGACAAATATTTTAAGATTGCCACAAGATTATATTCATTGTATTCTTAATGTGATTTTGATACTTTATACAGTGAAGAAAGGTGTTACCTTTTAAGTTATTAGTGCAATCTAAAGCAGCTTTAAATTGAAATGAAATTTATGGAGAGTATTTTTAGCACTGAATCTGGTTAGCAGCTTTCTCTATCAGATAGATTTTTATCTCTGCTCTAAAATTAATTCCCTTGTTCTCTTGTGCTGTTGCTAGTTGCCTGGGAGAAGAGGTCAACCTTCACCTGACTACAGCCTATTTTCAGGTAATTATAGAAAGTGATAAGTTGACTCCTGACACTCCTTCTCTCCAGACTAAACACTCTCAGCTCCCACCACTGTTCCTCATATGATTTACTCTCCAGACCCTTCACCAGCTCCATTGCCTTTCTCTGGACCAACTCCAGTACCTCAGTGTCTTTCTTGAAGTGGAGCCCAAAACATCTTATAATGTCCCCACATTTGGGATTGCTTGGGTCACAGGTGGACTTTTGAAGTGTGTAATCTATCCAGCCTCACTTTTCCATCACAGATTGGACTAGATGGTCTTTATAGATCCCTTCTAACCTGGGCTGTTCTGTGATTTTTTGATTCTATTATCTAGGCCTTGTATGTTGCCCTACAATTATTTGTTATTCCGAGTGCTCTTATCAATTCTCTGTGAGATCATGTAAATAAAAATATTAGGGTTGGTGATATTCAAACAGGACAAGGATATTTTCTTTATTCCTGTTCATGTCTACCTGAGTGCATGACAGAGAAAAGGTATTATAATAGAAAGTGGCTACATTTGGTCTTGTTGGAAGTCATTAATTTAAAGATGACAAAATTCTGATTTGTTTAAAAGTCCTTCATAATTCTTGATACAGGTCAGGTTGGCTTTATCCTGATTACAAAGTTCAGACTAGATTTTAATTTAAAGCAAGATATCCCTTGTCTTAATATGTTCACATTTCTTTTTTTAATATTTGTTTTTAAATAAAATATAATTAAAAACAGTGGTAATGTATTAAAAGTTGTGCTGGGAAAGAAAAAAATCCCACATCCCAATGCATTAATGTCATTACACATTTATATATTTATATAACTAAGGCACCATTAGAAATGGCAAAGAAATTAAAGGATGCAAAACTTTATAATTACTTTCCAGTCACAAAAAAATAAAATAAGAATAAAGTGATGAAAAATTAAATTTTTTGAATAATATAAATCTTTCCTTTCAAAGGATTACTTACTTCAAAAAAGTATTAAAATATTTGTTTGTTTGAACGTGGCCCTTATTTTTTTCCAATTAAAAAAGATGAATGATCTCTAAGCTAAGAAAACAAGTAAAACTCAGTATATCACTCCATAATTCTAATTTCTCTTCCCTTTTCCATTAGAAAATCTACTAATTATTCACATTATGCCCAAATTAAGCATCTCATAGATTGAATGCATGTTGATATTTATAAATATGTAAAAGTTACTTTTTTTCCCCACTTGACATTTATGATAGCCTATGAAATGTTTGTATGAATAAATCGAATATGTCTGAGGCCTTTTAGGGAAATATTGCAGTAAAACATTTCCCTAGCTCCCATCAGCATCCTTGGCACACCATCACTTCCCATACTAACTAGCCATAATCATTATTGCATCATTATGCTGTTTTGCCATGTACAGTATATTTGCACTCAGTATGACACTTTAAATCATAAAAATGTTAAAGTTTACCAGATGCTGAACAGTTTAAATATAAACCTTTGAGCTGGTGAGTATTTCAGTGTTATATTTCATATTCACTGATAAGTGTGTGCTCATGGACTTCGAGGCGATATAACATTGATTGCTCTTCATAAATACATTGCCTGCTCTGCACAGTATATTTTTATGGCACATAAATTTCAATAAAAGAATTGATAAAGCCTTTGAAACACTCATTAACATGTTTGAGTAGTTGTTTGAAAGGGCTATATAGTAATGTGTACATAGCTTTTAAAATAACTATAATCATAAAAAAGTGCAACAGTATTTTAATTTATCCCATACCAAAATCTCAGAACTTAAGGATCTGGGTCTGCAGTTCACCCTGATGTGATTGAATCCTACCCAAATTTAATTCTCACTAAAGGAAGTGAGAATACAACAATTATGTGTTTGTTAGACTCCTTTGAACATAGAAAAATAATATTCATTATTATATGCTGTGAGCATTAACTTGCAAGAAGATTTTTGTTTTGTTTCTAACTGCATTTTAATCTCTCAAGGAAGTATAATTGGTCTTGCTTTCTTGTTGTTGATTATAGTCTTTATTTTTGCTTTTTGCAGAAATGGAACTCCTGTCAGTCTTTCTGTGCACAGCTGTATCATCAGCCTTCTCTCTGGTAACTTTTAAACACATCAAACATTGCAAAGAGATTTTGCCTTAAGTTCCTACAAGTTTCACGACATAGCAGGAGCAAGTAGGGACAGAAGGAGACAGCAGTGAGGAAATCTATAGAGAACTAGCAAGGCAGAACTCAGACATTACATGGTTTGTTGGACAACTACCAGACTAGTCACATCATGGACTTTCAGATGCACATGTTACCAGGAAACAGGAATGCTAGCAGCCCAGAAAGCTAATGGAATCCTGGGCTGCATCCACAGGAGTGTGGGCAGCAGGGCAAAAGAGGTGATTCTTCCCCTCTGCTCTGGTGAGATCCACCTGGAATACTGCACACAGTTCTGGTGTCCTCAGCATAAGAAGGGCATGGAACTGTTGGAGCAAGTGCAGGGGAGGCCACAAAGTTGCTAAGAGCACTGGAGCATCTCCCTGTGAGGACAGGCTGAGGGAGTTGGAACTGTTCAGCCTGGAGAAGAGAAGGTTGTGTGGAGACCTCAGAGCAACTTTTCAATCTCTGAAGGGGCTACAAGGAGCTGCAAAGGGACTCTGTGTTAGGAACTGCAGTGATAGGACAAGGGGCAATGTGCTCAAACTGAAGGAGGGAAAGTCTAGGTTAGATGTGATAAAAAAGGTTTTTACTCTAAGGGTGGTGAGACA